ATTTGGCTGCCAGCACAAATAGGGCATGCAAAGAGATGAGGGTGTCCTAGACTAGGTTTCCCAAAGCTAAGGGGCACAGGAAAGAGGACTGCAGTTTTTCTTTATGGGGGAACCTCAAAACAGAGCCCACAGTTCAGGTGTTTGAGTGACCTGAGTGTCTGAGTGAACAGTGTCAAACACAAGAAGGGATGACATTGAAGTAAAAAGGAAGTTTTATTTTCCCCTTTGTGAGCAGCTCCATTTTAGCTGTCTCTATTCTACATTTTAAACTGTAGCACTGTCCTCCCGTTGTTCATCGATTGGCTCGGGCCCAGTAATGTCTCCATTGTGAGACTTGTTGTTACTGTGTTTGGCATATCGAATACGTCACAGGTAGCTTGCAAGGCTTTGCCATGCAGGTGAGATACTCTCAGTAGCTTGCTGGGCTCTGCCGGGTTGGTGGCGCTCAAGGCCTACCGCTGTGCCCTACTCCAGCCCTACTTTTTAAACATTCCTGCAAATTACTGAACTCTTTCTGAAACTTCCCCAGACCTCAGGCTCACCGAATATTAAGAAATAATGGAGTGGGGCTGGAGCGATAGCACAGTGGGTAGGGCGTTTGCCTTGCGCACAGCCAACCTGGGTTCGATTCCCAGCATCCCATATGGTCCCCCAGCACCGCCAGGAGTAATTCTTGAGTGAAGAGCTAGGAGTAACCCCTGAGCATCGCCAGGCATGACCCAAAAAAGAAAAAAAAAAGAATGGAGTAATACCTGGATATATGGTAAAATATATAACCTACAATATAGTAAATAAACAGACAGTCCTCACCAGTCCAAGAGTGAATGAAAGATGTCATTCTTATCTTAGAAACACAAGTAGGGCTTCAAACCCTACCGACGCCACGAGTTGTCCCCCACAAGTGGCTCTCCAGCATGGCCATGGCACCAGAGGCACACAGACCTAATTCAGAGCCTGGCAGCTTGCGGCAGAAATGTGAATGGACTATGTGTTAAACTATGGCGCCATGCCCCTCCCCCGGGAGGGAAAGAGTGTCTGTCTCTTCCACCTTCCCCACCCCCCACGAACAGCACAGTGGCTGCTGCCTCAGAGCTTATTGGACAGCCAGGTATGAACCGGCAGTGACGTGGCAACTGCAGCCTCATGGGATGGGGGGCAGAACCAGCTCGTCCTTCACACCCTACTGAGGCCACGAGTTGCCCCCACTAGTGGATCTCCGGCACGACCACGGCACCAGATGCACAGAAACCAATCTTGTAATAATCCAGCTCTTGGCAGAAATCCCTCCAGACTTAATTAGTAAAATATCAGAAATCCAAATTCACACAGTGGTGATAGTTAATTTGGAAAAAAAAGGTTAATTTGTGATGATTGCTTGCTAAGTGATTTGACCACTATGAATAAGACATTAATTCATTAATGAAAATGTATAAAATTCCTTAGCAAGCTAGGAATAGAGATGCATTTATTAGAGGGCATCCAAATGCACTGTTAGTGTGTTCCATACTCAATGTCACATATTGGGAAGTTTGTCCTGTCCTTTACAGAAGCTCTATTAATGCTTCTTGCAAAAGTGGTTTCAAGGCTAAGTTGTTGCCTGTCCATAAAGCTCTATATTGTTTCTTCAAATCTAAGTTTTGATCAAGTTGGATAAAGTATTCCTGGTGAGGTTTTCATTAATTTTTTTCTACTATATCCCTCCATACTCCTCTGACTTGCAGTTTCAGTTTGATAGATTTGGTGTGCATTTTATAGATTTTCTTTGCATCAAAGTTCCTATCAATGATTTTTCTGCTTTCAATATTGTCTCTATACTTAAATGTTGTCATTTTTAGTACAATGTTTCTTGGAGTTTTCCAACTTGAGTCAATTTTCACCTTCAGACCTCTTGGGTTTCAGTGTCTGCAATCTTCAAATCTGGGTAATTGTTATTAATGATTTCTTTAACTTGTTTCTTCGTCACATTTGCCTTCCTGTTTCTCAAGGACTCTTATAATTCTTATATTCTTATATTGTTCCTCTTAAATTCATCCCATAGTTCTCTTGTATGCTCTTTATTTAGTTATAAGGCTATTTCCCGCCTTCTGATGTTTCCTAGCACTTTCCTTCTTCTCATCTTCGAGCTCCTTAATCTTTTGCTCAGCTTCAATTATTCTGCTATTCAGAGCTTCTATGGGTTTTTATATCACCTACCATGTTCTTGATTTATGTTATTTCTTGTGATAGTTTATTCGTAGTCACACTTTCTTGTGCTTTGCTGACTACCTATCTAGAATGGCAGATCAGCAAGCAAAAGGTCAGTAGCTGTATTGTGGGACCACTTATATGATACAGGTCAAGTGTGGATGCTACTGGGACTTAGCTAGAAAGGAGAAGCTCTGCTTGCTTCTCGTTCCAAAATAAGCCCAGTGATATTAGCTGAAGGAAAGCCTCACCTGGAATGGTAGAGCAGAATAAGCAGAAGTTCGGGGTTTATGTTGTGGGCTCATTCATATAGGACATGTCAGGTGAGAAGGATATTGAGAGCTAGGCACAAGAGAAGGCCTCTGTCTCCTACTTCAGATTGTCAGCTCGTTTTTGTTTTGTTTGGGGCCACACTTAGCAGTACTTCTGGTTTACTCCTAGCTCTGTGCCCAACCCACTGTACTATCACTCCAGCCCCAAGTTCTGCTAAGGCAATTATGGGTTAATATTTTCTCTAAGAAGAAAGTAATTCTAGAAGTATCAGATTAGAACCCCATTTCTAAATTCAATTATTCTGGAATATGAGATTTGTAGGGTGAAGACTGAAGCGAGGTTTGTTATGTGAGTAGTTTCAAGGGATAAAAAGAGGAAAATGAATCATTATTTCATCATGGCAGAGGAAGGATCAACAAACAAAAAGCAAGGTAAGAGAACAATTCAGAATGAAATTGCGATGGTGCTCCATCTAAAAGGTGATGCTGGTGGCATCTCTGGGTGATTTATGTGAAGTAGACAGAAGAAAATCAGCAGCCTAGAGAAGGGAATCTGCTGCTTTCTCTCTATCCACCTCTTCCACCCAGGAATAATGGGGAAATCTAGGACTAATAAGAGTCGGTGGTGTGTCTTCTCCTTGCAAGAAAGGAAAGTCAGTTTTAGACCTTACCTAGGACTTTGGGGTTCTCGCCTTTCTCTCACAGAAAAGAATTTCAAGAGATGACAAGCAGTTTGCAGTAAAAACATGTTTTATTTGTAACTTCTGAAGGGGTAGGGAGAAAGTATCGTGCTCAAGAAAGAAAGGGCTTCTCCAGAGTAATAGTACACATCATAGCGTTAGATATAAAAGTACAAAAGCACACACATCAAGAGGGGTGATGCAGGTGACACATGGGTTCAGGCAGCATATGTTTTTGCTTCTTTTGTTCAAGTTGGCTTTTATAGGGTATATCCCAAGCTGCCTCACATAGGGCTTTCTATCTAAGTAACAGTCCATTACTAGGACAGTTGTTAATTTTTAGAGTTGGGAGTAGTTTATGGTCTTTTTTGATATTCTTTTGATATTTGTTCCTGCTGGAGCGTCTCTTTTAATGGGGATCTGGCCTTCTCTGGGTCTGTATTGGTGCCAGGTAAAGGTCTATCAGGTCATAGTTCCTGTGTCCACGACATGTGTCCTGGCAGAGCTAATTGGTTTTATTACTTCCAAGGAATTCATTGCCATAGCAGGGTGAGGGAGGCTTACTTATCTACCGGCTTTCCCGCTTCAAAGGGAATTGATCAATTAAGAAATTGTACAATGAGTAGGCGGAAAACTTTATTAGCAGTAAACAAATCTATAGACAGACTTATAGCTTGAAGAATCACTTATTGCTCAAAGAATCACTGCATACTCACAATAAATAGTTTCTATAGAAAGTAAAAATATCCTTTTTCAGGATGGCAATACTTTGAAAATTGGTGGCCACTGATATTATCAGTAATACCCACTGTGGACAAAGATTTTCTGAACCTCACTCCATTGTATCTGCATATCTAAAATAAAGTATTATGAATAAGGGTTTAATTTGTTTGTCATCTTCCAGGCAATTGGAAAAAGGAGATGAAGCAGGTTTGAGAAAATTGTTGTGGTGTGGATTACACTGATAGTGACCTCTCTCTCTCTCTCTCTCTCTCTCTCTCTCTCTCTCTCTCAATTTCTGTGTGTGTCTCTCTGTCTCTCATACACACATGCTGATAGTTCTCTATGCAACACACACATACTGGTAGTTCTCTCTCTCTCTCTCTCTCTCTCTCTCTCTCTCTCTTTCACACACACACAAAATTGCTCATCTCTTGTTTATATTTTTAAAAACCTGTAGATTTACATTTGCTGTGTTTTGATTTAAGTAAATAGTGAGGCATGTATTCAAGAATCTTTTAAGATACAAAGCAGTGCTCAGAGACTGCACTCCTTGGAACTGAAGCCAAAGTGAACAGAGTTGTTCCCAGAGCTTCGCAGTGACCACTGTCTTGTTTCAGTTCATTATTATTGAGCCCACAGGAAGAATCCCTAAACTTCGAGACTACTGTTCCACAGAGTCTAGACAGTCGTCTCAGTGCAAAGGAACGCCAGGACTGAGTCAAATCAATGCCAGAACTGAGTCAAATCAGTTTGTACACAACACTGGAAGACTGGTTTGAAAACCAAAGGACTGACAGGAGGCTCTGCAGCACAACAAAAAAGCGTAGTCTCGGGGGAAAAAAGACTCAGAAAATCACTGGAGGCTTATTTCTCCCAGTGGAAAAGTTGGGACGGGAAGGTAGCCCCCCCTTTGCCTGGCCTTCCTGAGCTCAGCTGATTAGTTTCTTACTGGAGAGCTAGCTTCCACCAGAACAGAGCGGGGGCTACAGTTCCGGTGTCTACCAGACGAGGGCAGCACTGCTTGTAAGAGCAGCCGCAGCGGTTCCGCCTTCCCTCTTGGTTTCCTCGCGCAGAGGTGGGGGGGGACCGTGGAGCGCTCGCTCATTGGTCGCAGCGTGGGCGCTGCCATGTTGGCGGAAGCGGTGCTCCCGTCCCTGGGAAACTGGCTGCGACCGAGCTGCAGTTGTGCGCAGCTTCCCGTCTCTTCTCCCTAGAACCTCGACGCTGGGAAGCGGCGGCCGGCGGGATGCAGAAAAGTAGGATGAACCTGCCCAAGGGCCCGGACAGCCTGTGCTTCGACAAGGACGAGTTTATGAAGGTGCGCGGCCGGCCCTCTCGGGGCCGGGCGGAGGGTGGCCTGCCCACTAAGGGCCTCTCCGTGCTCGACTGCTCGTGACAGGGCCTGGGCCACAAACACCCGCATTCCACCAAGCTTGCCCCGAGTCAGGCCCCTCTGCAGGGACTTCGCTGCGCTTGACAGCGAGGCGTTTTTTGTCCTCAGACGTGCATGGGGAAGCCTAGAAAAGCAGTTCGCCAGAATCACGTATCTTGAGTGCAGCCTCGGAAATGGTTTTGAAACGGTGGTTTTGAAACGGCGAAGCGGTGCTGTCAGATTGCGGGTCCCGCTTGCTAGACGTGAGCCTTGTGGTTGACCAATATGCCTTGCTCCTAGAAGCGCTTAAGGATGTATCGAACGCATCTTTGGACCCGTGTATCTCCCCAAGGGTTGAGTCAGGGAAAGTTTTTTACTTCACCTTCAAAGTTTCAGAGGTTGGAATATCGGCGGTGCTCGGGGGTCACTCCTGGGTCTGCACTCAGGAATTACTCCTGGCGGTGCTCGGGGGAGCCAGATGGGATGCTGGGGATCGAACCCGGGTCGTCCGCGTGCAAAGCAAACGCCCTACCCGCTGTTCTATAGCCAGCCCCAGGTTGGGATACTCTTAATCGGTGTTACAAAGCAAACCCTTCTCCTTTTCTGGTCCAAATACCAACCAGCCCCCGACCCTGCTTAGCTTCCGATCTTCGGAGATCAGGCGAGATCAGGTGCGTTCAGGGTAGGATGGCCATAGACTCTCCAGGTTTCCAGAGTTGGCCTGCTTACCTTGATAAGCTGGACCTAAGATTGGTCTGCAGTTGTCAGACATAAAATTACAAAATAGAAATAGAAATGGAAAACATTTTACTGATTATAAAGGTTTATCCGGTGCAGTCACGTAAGTGTCCAAGAGACACTGTCTAACGAGAGTCAGGAGGAACTTTGCCAATCTGTTTTGTGTCTTGTTAAACTGTAAAAAAGAAAATTTAAAAAAGGAGTATGTTTAAGGGCCGGGGATATAGCTCATAGGGCTTTAAGCACATGGTTTATGTTCCGGAACTCTGGGTTCATCCCTGGTATTGCATAGCCCTCCCAAACATTACCAGTAGGAGCTACTGAGCACTGAATCAGGAGTAGTCCTGGCACCCTTAAGGGTCTACACGCGACGTTGTAAAATATTTCCTCATGACATCTTAAGTAGAAGTAACTAGGACTTTTATTCCATCCTTTTTTTCACATTTATATTTTAATTATTAAGGTTGCTTTGGCCCCTCCCTGAACTGTTTTGTGCTGTGTATATCACTGCTTTATATAAGTTATTTTTTAAGGTGAGCTCAGATGCTATGGTTTTGTAAATGTCTGCAATCATGAATAGGAATAAAATGCTTATATGAGAGTTTTCAAAAAGGGGCTGCAATGATGGGACAGTGGGCAGGGCACTTGAGCACTTTAAAAAAACAACTATAAAGCAAAAATATATTTAACTTGTTAGTGTTGGGTTATGATGCCACTTACTTGGTTATGGTGCTGTTATGTTGAAAGTTTGTCCCCTAAAATTGTGAATAGTAAACTTAAATCTTTTACTGTTCTGCCTCTTTTGAGAACCCTAAATTGATAAATATTTTTCTCTTTCACTAGTTTAATTAGCTCATTTCTTTTTGATGTTTACATTTGGATCCCCTCTCTAAAATTCTGTTTTAAAAATATAATATTTATATCTGAATCCTTTCTGGTAAGAAAAAAGATTCATTTCTAGCATATCCAGATCTGGGAATATGTACTTTTGCTCTTGTCTAGTAATGATGTCTTGTGGACAGCCCATGGACTGCTAGGTGTCTTCAGTGTTATGGTCTTTATTGTTGTGTCAGAAAAGGAAAGCATGAGTACATCTTTTCAGGCTGATTCTAATGGAATCATCAATTATAGCAGTAGTAGCCCTAGCAGTCATCCTGGAATACGGTGATCTGTGTGTGTGTGTGTGTGTGTGTGTGTGTGTGTGTGTGTATGTATCCCTGTCCCTTTGCAGTTTCCTTCATCTGATTGGTTATACTATATAAATAAGGGATCGTAGGCTGACCAGTCAGATCATGTTTTTATATGCAAATAAGGGGACCAACTTAAGGTCTTCATTGTCTGCGCCTTCTTCCTCTTAAGTCACTCTCCGCTTAATAATATTTGTGTTAAATCACAAATGATTTTTAGGATGACTGGAAAGTCCAGGGTGAACTAATATTCTTGAACTAATATTCTTTCTTCCATCCCTTAGCTCAGAGCTAGCTTTAAGCAAAGATAGAAGAGATAACTAAGAGTACATGCAGAGAGATGCATTAGGAGAGGTTTGCACAAAGATTTGTGTTTTTGTTTTGACTTCTCTAACTTCAAGAACCTTAGAGTATAGAAAACTTTTCACTTGTCTGTTAACTTCTTCAGACTTCCTTCCCATCACCAACATCCTTTCTGATTCACTAACCTTGCCATTTTTCTCAGTCTGAACTGATAATACCTTTGGTTAAAGCATTTTCAGAAAGTAGAAATTTAAGTTCTACAATAGACATTAAGAGGGGCTGGTGGGGCTGGAGTGATAGCACAGTGGGTAGGGCGTTTGCCTTGCACGCAGCTGACCCAGGTTCGATTCCCAGCATCCCATATGGTCCCCCAAGCACCACCAGGGGTAATTCCTCAGTGCATGAGCCAGGAGTAACCCCTGTGCATCTCTGGTGTGACTCAAAAAGCCAAAAAAAAGGGGGGGGGGGCTGGAGTGATAGCACAGTGGGTAGGGCGTTTGCCTTGCACACTGCTGGCCCAGTTCAATCCTCGGTATCCCATATGGTCCCCTGAGCACCGCCAGGAGTAATTCCTGAGTGCAGAGCCAGGAGTAACCCCTGTGCATTGCCAGGTGTGACCCAAAAAATAAAAACAAAAAAAATTTAGACCTTAAAAATAGGGAGAGACAAACTGGTAAAGTGGCCAGAATGCCAACAATTTCATATTCTTGAGTAGTTCTTAAGCCTCTGAATGTTTTGTACAGTTGGTAGTGCTAGTTGGCAGTGCTAGTGTAACCATTTCATATGTAGAACAGTATATTGAATAAGTGTTCTGTGCAAAGTAATACAATATTTATTTTCTAGGTGGGATCAAGAGATAAGGGTTATTTGCAATTTGTGTTTCCTTTGCAGAAATATCCTGTTATAGTTTCCTGGCACATAGGATGGGTGAAGAGCTTTTTGTGGGAATACATTTTTGTTTCATTCAACACTTTGCAATTTTGACTGTGGGGAGAGTTAGCAAATATTAGATTTTCAGTGAGTTGAGATTATTTGAAATCCAGTTAATTGACATTACCCTGTTAAAAAAAATGATGATCTGGTAGGGTAATGACATTAATTGCTTATTCAATATAATATTCATTAATCTCGGCTGTGTACCAGTCAGAAATCTGGACATAATGGCATAAGGATAGATTTTCCATGATAAGGTGTAATCCCAAGGATACGTCTGTGAAAGTCATCCGTGAATGATTTAATACCTGCATATCATTTCATGTGATACAACATTGATAAAATGATGACTAAAGGAATATATGATTATCTCAGCAGATACAGAAGCAATTGGCAACATTCAGCGTTGATTTATGATAGCTTAGTTGAATAGGTATGGCAAGCCATATGACGAATATGCAAGCTTGCAGTGAAAATCTGATTTCCTTTGAAATAAGGAATAAGATAAATGTGAGCTACCAGAAATGAAAGCAATTTCAGTTACAATTTATCAAAAAATAAATCTATAAATTTAACCTAGGGGTGAAAGACCTGTACACTGAATTATATAAAATGTTAATGATAAAAACTGGAAAAACAAATGGGAAGGAAATCCATGTTCTGAGATTTAGATAATTATCAGTGTCCTCCCGTTGTTCATCAGTTTGCTCAACGGGCCCAGTAACGTCTCCATTATGACACTTGTTACTGTGTTTGGTGTATCGAATACGTCATAGATAGCTTGCCAAGTTTTGTCATGCGGGCGAGATACTCTCAGTAGTTTGCTGGGCTCTCTGAAAGGGGCGGAGGAATCGAACCTGGGTCAGCCGGGTGGCCTCGTGCAAGGCAAATGCCCTACCCACTGTGCTATCGCTCCATCCCTTAGTTAATTGACATTACTAAAATGCCTGTACTATTTAAAGCATTCTAGATTCAATATAATCCCCACCAAAATCCCAATATATGTGTGTGTAATGGGGGTAAAGATAATTTGGGGTAAAGATAATCATAGTCTCTTAAGCAAATAATATTGGGAAAACTGGACAGCCACGCGAAAAGAAAGAAACTGAACCAGTGTCTTCACCAAACACAAAAAAATTAAAAATTTGAGTGTAAGAACTAAAACGATGAAGTTTCTGGAAGAAAACAGAGATAGTAAGAAACTTGATGTTGATCGTGGCAATGGTATTTAGGATTTCACGCCAAAAGCAAAGACAAAAACTAAACAAGTGGAACTATATCAAACTATATATAATTTCTGCCCAACAAAGGAAACCATAAGAAAAATGACAAAGCAACCCATCAAATGACTAAAACGTTCGACTAAAGAGGACAGATAGGTGGCCAAGAGGAGCACAAAGGTATTTAGCATCATTAATCATCAGCAAAACCAACATTATAATGAGATGTAATTTACTATCCATTAGAGTGACTTATCAAAAAAGATAGGAATAAAAATGTGGAGAAAAATGTATCCTGTGCACTGTTTTGTAGGAATCTAAATTGGTTCAGTCACTATAAAAACTAGTATAGTTGCTGGTTCCAAAATTAAAAATAGAGTAAAATAACACAGTAATATTTTTTTTTCTAATTTTCAGGAAGATTTTGATGTCGATCATTTTGTGTCTGACTGTAGAAAGCGTGTACAGCTAGAAGAACTGAGAGAACACCTAGAACTCTACTATAAACTTCTTAAAACAGCTATGGTCGAGCTCATCAATAAGGACTATGCAGATTTTGTCAACCTTTCGACAAACCTGGTAAATCTCAAATCCACAAATCCTTCCATCATAAATTTATACTTAAAGCCTTTCTCACTCATATTTATTCTTAACAATATGTTGGGAAGTTTTTATAAATCCATTGATTTTTCTCCTGCAAACTTGGAGATTACTAACCTTATTAATAGAAAAACTAAATTTTTGTTTTGAATTTTTGCCCATATGAGTCCGTTTTAATAAAATTAGGTATTAAGAATTAGTGAAAAGTAAAAGATAATTATAGTGTTTTTATTAGTTTTCATCCTATGAAGTCTCACCGCTAAGAACAATTTGCAAGGGCAAATAAATGCCCACTATTCTTAAACATTTTAATTTACTTCCAGATAATTTACGCTAACTGGGCTGGAGCGATAGTACAGCGGGTAGGGCGTTTGCCTTGCATGCAGCCGACCCTGGGCCAACCCTGGTTTGATTCCTCCACCCCTCTCGGAGAGCCCGGCAAGCTACTGAGAGTATCGCGTCCGCATGGCAAAGCCTGGCAAGCTCCCTGTGATGTATTCGATATGCCAAAAACAGTAACGACAAGTCTCACAATGGAGATATTACTGGTGCCCAGTCCAGCAAACGGATGAATATTGGGAGGATAGGGCTACAGTGCAGTGCTACTTTTATGCTAACTACAACCAGGTTGTGGGCACATTGGCCAACAATGATCTTCAAGAAAAATAAATTTTAAAATATGAATGATTTGTAATGAGCATGTCAGTTGTTTGTAAAATACTTGAGTTGGTTTGATTTTGATTTTGGGGCCACACCTAGAAGTGCTTAGGGCTTACTTTTGGCTCTGCACTCAGGGATCACTCCTAGCAGGGTTCGGGGCACTACTCAGGATGCTTGGGATTAAACCCAGGTTAGCTGCATGCAAGGCAAAAGCCCTACCTGCCCTACCTGCTGCTCAGCTATCTAAAATGTGTTTAATACACACAAAATTTTTTTTTTATATAATCTGTTTTCCCAGTGAAGTAACTGTCTTCATGACAGCTTCAAGAATCATTAAAATGAATGAACTATTTTTAGTTTTGGGAAATATGCCCGTGAGATCAATGTCCCAGTGGGATTAGAAATCCAAAAAATTTAATTTTTTATTCAATTTTATTTGTATTCCAAGGTAAAGGTAAAGGTAAAGGCCCTCCCGTTGATCGTCGATTTGCTCGAGCGGGCCCAGTAACGTCTCCATTGGAGACTTTGTTGTTACTGTGTCTGGCATATCGAATACGTCACGGGGAGCTTGCCAGGCTCTGCTGTGCGGGCGAGATACTCTCGGTAGCTTGCCGGGCTCTCCGAGAGGGGCGGAGGAATCGAACTCGGGTTCGGCCATTTTGGCCGCTTTGTAAGGCGAACGCCCTACCACTGTGCTATCGCTCCAGCCCAGGTAAAGGTAAAGGCCCTCCCGTTGATAGTCGATTTGCTTGAGCGGGCCCAGTAACGTCTCCATTGGAGACTTTGTTGTTACTGTGTCTGGCATATGGAATACTCTCGGTAGCTTGCCGGGCTCTCCGAGAGGGGTGGAGGAATCGAACTCGGGTCGGCCATGTTGGCCGCTTGTAAGGCGAACGCCCTACCGCTGTGCTGTCGCTCCAGCCCAATGATCATAATAATGTCTAGGAGCAATGTAGTCCATCAGACTTTCACAGGTTTTCATCATCTGGTCAAGTATTGTAAATTATAGACAAATAGCTATTCACTTCCCATTAATGCATGTACAGTTTCATTCTTAGACAACTTTTGTATAAGGAAGTTTTCATTTATCAAGAATTTTCTTAATTTTTTATGTATATAAGTAGATTTTTTTAAAGAGTATCTATGATACAATAGCATTTCTGTTTATTTTTAAATGTTTTATTGAGGTAAATTCACATATATTAGTTTTAGATCTGCAGCATAGTTCACTATTTCTGCACAGTAATTCTAATTATTGTTCCTCATTATACAAAGTTTCAAATTTCTCCGTGAGGATGTCATAAGAACTTTTACAATTTTGTCTTGACAGGTTATAAATATGCAATACAATGTCATTGAGTATAGTCCATATGTATAAATTAACATTCTTGCTAGCTAGTTACCTAGCAATATATTGTTGTTCATTTTTGTTGTACAGAAAGAATTTATTCCTAGCACTGCTTTTTTCACAAAGTATATACTTCACTAGTATTGCGAATTGTTTTGTGTTTGTGCTGACATGGTTTTGCCTTCAGGTTGGCATGGACAAAGCCCTTAATCAGCTTTCTGTGCCCTTGGGACAGTTACGAGAAGAGGTCCTGGTAAGTCCTAAAATAATACTAAATAATACTAAATATATCTACCATAAAGCATGATATATTTGTTCACCGATTCTAAAGTTTCCTTTGATCTGGTAGGTTGCTTGATGTTGTTAATTTTTTGTTGTTGTTGGTAATTTTTAATGGTGGAAACAGAGAGAGTACAGTAGGCAGGGCACTTGCTTGGCACGTGGCCAGTATGGTTTTAGTTCCCAGCAACCCATACATTTCCCAAACCCTTCCAGGAATGATCCCTGAGTACAGAGCCAGGAATAATTATTGAACTCCACTGGATATGGCCCCAAAACAAACCCCAAAATTCTTTTTAATGATTCATGATTATGCACCTTTAAAAAAGTTGATAAATGGTTCTCTATCTTTTGCATGTGACATTAAAACTTAAAAGCATGCTTGGTTTGAAGATGACAAACTTCTCTGAGTAGACCACTTTAAACTGGCTTAAAGTGTGGAGGGAGGGGCAATAAGTCACTTGCCTAATGTGCAACAGAACTAGGTTTAGTCTTCATGCCAAGGGGTCACTCCTTACCTAGAGTCCAGAATGTCCCTGAGCCTGGCAGGGCGTGGCCCCAGCCTCTCTCCCCAACAAATAAATGTTGGGAGAAGAGAAGAGTATCTCAGATTTCAAGTTGTTAAATGCCATCTCATTTACATATAAGTCGTCTCCAGTAGATGAATAACTTTTGTTTTTAAATTTGGTGATTTCATACACCTTTTTCAGGCAATAGTTTATCTCCTGCCAGATATCTTTACATAGTCTCCTTTCATATTCAGCAACAGAACTAGCCTTCCTTTTGATCAAAACTTAAAAGCTGAGCTACTCTGTATCTAAGATATTAATGACAGTTTTTGCTTTGTTCACTAAAATCTTCATTAATATTCAGAGTATATGATACTTAATAGATACTTCATTAATGTTTATTGAATGAATTAAATTAATGGACTTGTTCTTTAGGATTTTATTATTTGTCTGAATTTTTCTTTGTTTTCATTGCTGTTTTTGGTCTTAATATCTCAAACTTGGATTTATTAATCATCTTTGGACATGTGTCTTTACCTGCCACCTCTCCCTTTTGCTGGCTATTCTTTTCCTATTTTGATGTTCAGTGTTCCTCGAACAATACTTCATAATGATCAGTGCCTAAATAATCTTTATTTCTCTAAAGTGTGTAGTCTAGTCTTAAAGACCTCATTTCTAGTTTTCAAAATAAATTCTGTAGCACACCTGGGTGTGTGTCTCATAGCTTTAGATATGATGTATTCAGTTTTATATTTCTGACTTTTAATTTCTATCTCCATGTCTGCAAACACAGATTCATAGTCTAACCCAAGTAGCACTTCTGTTGCTAAATTTTTCTATGCCTTTCTCTACTATGACAGTCATTGTATTTCTCAAAAATTCTTTTCACTGTTAATCTTGTGTGAGCTTCCCTTATATGTCATCTGTCCCCAAGTTATGATAGCTTTTAGTTGTACGTGATGTGTTGTACTTGTATCACTATCTGTATAGTCGTAACCTATAAATAGTATAAAATTCTAGTATAAAAGTATAAATGTTTAAAGTTTAAAATGTTACAAAACAATTTTTACATTTCCTTTGTTATTTCAAAGAGTCTTAGATCGTCTGTTAGCGAAGGAATTCGGGCAGTAGATGAACGAATGTTTAAACAAGAGGACATCAGGAAGAAAAAGGTATATTTATGTGTCATACAGTTAAAGACATGGACTCCCTTTGTCATAATTTTACTTTTGGTGTGTATGCAGAGGGAAGCAGAAGGCAGGTCTGTTGTATCGTTAGAGACAAGTAGCTCCTAATAAAACCAGTGAAGTCTAGAGGTAGAGCTGGAAACCAGATCTTCTCTCTCCTGGTCTGATTATACTCTTATTAATATGAGGGTTGTGGTAAAATTTTAAATGATGAAATAATATTGTTTGTTCTTAGGTCTTAGTTTAGTCATGGTGTCACTGACCTTTTTTAAGCTTTGTCCTCTCATAGTTCTCAGTATTATGAAACTTTTTTACTTACACTTTTGCATGTGTATATGTTTGCTTACTTTAATGTCCTGTTACCTATTTGAAATTATAGGACAAATTTTAGAGGTCTTGAGTGTTCACAGATCTAAAATTCCACATTTTTCCTGAATAACCAATATTAATAAAGATGCTTTGCAGTTTAATAGGCATAGTCTCTCAACACCCCTAAAAGGAAGGCTCTCCTATTGCAGACTTAGGGAGTAGGTGTGACTTTCTATAGCGGATGCTTTCAATATTCTGTGGCAGATTTATTTTTAGAAAAAGTAGTATGTTTCTTCCTAATTCTGTATTTTGCTTTTTGTTCCCCTTTAAAATACCTACATAGTAACACAGTGCTATAATTTTGTTTTATTCATCCATGGTGGTATAATGGCAAAGTTGGAGTTAGAATTCAAGACTTTTAATTTTAGCCTGATACTCTGTCCACTGTTTTGTAAATTTAATTGTATATTTTTCAAACTTTAGAGGAGAGAAGCCAATCTTAGGGAATATTTAATTATCTTTTAGGTCTCAACTTAGCTTTTGCCCCCAAGATTTCATGAATGTGCATCTTTAGGAAGATTTGTAGAACAGGGAGCTTGTACCTGCTTTGTTCACTCAGATCTCTAGAAGAATATCTAGCTCATAACTGTAATTCAGTGATTGCTTAATGAGGGACTTTGTTGTTTTGTCCTTTCAAGGATGACTTCCTATACTGTGATTAAACCTTCTTGATACTGTTTTTAGTACAATATCTTTAATGAATTGACAATTAGGTAGATATGTGTGTTATGCATATGTGAATCGAAAAGATAAATAGTATCAGAAACTAAATATTGGAAAAATGGTTATAAGAAAATAAATGTAGAGCCAGTAGAAAAGTTCACTTAAGATAAGAAAAAAGAATAAATGAAAGGTATAAAACATGAGAAAACAAAAAAGCCTACTTTATTTTTAAAATATGCTGGCTCTGGAAAGCAAAATTAAGATTCTCAGGAATTTGTTGTTAAATAAAATTCAAAATAGAGAATGTTCTAGGTATTCTAAATTCGCCATTTTTAAAACATTTTTCCAGTGTTTAGAATGGAAATGTAAGATAATTAACATTAAACATCTTGGGGAAGGAGGGGAGTGATGGAAGGCAACCTGGGAACACTGGTGCTGGGAAATGTACACTGGTGGAGGGATAGGTGTTGGAATACTATATGACTAATCATGAACAGCTCTGTAAGGGTCTATCTCACAGTGATTCTATTAAAAAAAAAAGCTAAACATCATGACTTTTGTTTTTGCTTAATTTTAATTTTTATAGATGTGTGTATTGAGGCTTATACAAATTATTCGATCAGTTGAGAAAATTGAAAAAATCTTAAATTCTCAGAATTCTAAAGAAACATCTGCATTAGAAGCAAACAGGTAAGTTTTTTGTTTTGTTTTTTACTAAACATCACATAAATTAAAACTTAACATACAAGCTGAAAGGATAATTATTGTAGGATTCGAACTTATTCCTGAAAAAAGGAAATCCAAATTACGCCTTAGTATTCTTTAATGTTATTCAAGGAAAATAGAGTGCAAGTTGATGCTATTTATAATGTGCTGTTTTAAAAATCTAAAACCTTTGTGATTTTATGCCGTAGTTCCAACACATCATCTTTCGGAGGCACTAGATTTGCAGTGGAAGATTTTTATTTTTGGAATTGCTTTAGCAGCTGTTAAGATCCTTACTGATCTTCAGGGTGTGTAGAATAGTATTCATTCTTATTTTAGTTTTTTTTAACACATGATCAGAGTATGACCATTGATATATATTGAGGTTCAGAATGCACTAGCATTCTATCATAAAGAAATAGTATAAGCCTTTTGGGTGGAACTTCCAGGTGAACCTCAGAAATGACCAACACAAAGGAAAAGAGGAGGGGCACCTACTATATGTTCTCTGGACATTTTAGAAAACATGGAATTGTTCCTTTGGCCACATACATGATAGATATTCAAGAAAGGTGATATCGTAGCTATAAAGGGAATGGGCACTGTGCAAAAAGGAATGCCCCACAAATGTTATCTGTCAAAACTAGAAGAGTCTACAGTGTTACCCAGCATGCTGTTGGCATTGTCATTAACAAACAAGGCAAGGGCAAGATTCTTGCCAAGAGAATTAATGTTCATAGTGAGTATATTAAGCACTCTCGTAGTCGAGACAGCTTCCTGAGATGGGTGAAGGAAAATGATTAGAAAAAAGAAGGAAACCAAAGAAAAAGAGACTTGGGCTCCACCCAGAGAAGCAGACTTTGAGAGAACCAGTGGAAAGGAGCCTGTGCTGCTGGAGCCCATTTCCTATGAATTTATGGCATGAGGGGTGTTTGTTTAAAAATAGAGACCCCTTGACTATAAAAAATGGTTCTTTAAAAAAAATAGTGTAGGGTACTTATAGATGAATTTTGGTAACAGGAAAGAAAAAGCTGTAAGAGAAAAATGATGGGGGCCAAGGAGATATGCAGAGCATGCACCTAGCTCTGGTGCAATCCCTGGCACTGCATGGATCTCTAAATATTCCTGGGAATATTCTTGGCGGCTTCCAAGCACTGCTAAATGTGATCCTGGTGTTCCCCAGCATAACAGGACTCAATCAGCTCTACAGTTTTGGATCCTCACATTGAACCACCTGACCCAGTTGGATAAATATCACCAGAATTGGCCTCTTGAGTACACGCTTATGTACACGCTTAAAAAGCCAGTGTAATATCAGGAATATGAAGTTGGACTTCTGGAAGCAAGTCACGGAGAATCTTTGCCAACGGGCAGGTGGTTCAGTGCTCAAGTCCTATGGTGCCAAGAACTTCTGGACAACCCTAGCTGTGCTTGGGGGCCCCCAGGGCCTGAGGGCTATATTCAGCAGTTACTCAGGAGACCAAGGATTAAACCAGGGTTGATTGCATGTCTTGTTCTCTAACCCCTGTATTATTTTTCCTGTCCCTAAACAAGTTTGTATGCTTTAGATACAGGACTGAGTAGATATTGAGGGACTCCATGTGGCATTTCAATTTCCTCATGATGTGAATTGCTTTCTTCACTTAACTGTTTGATCATCAGACTCAGACACAGAATGCCAGAGAAAAGGCCAGAAAATCGCAGTAAAGCCAATTGGATTGGCACCACTGGCCTTCATCAAATAGGGTTGGATCCTGTGACAGATGCTGTGGCTTGTCAAGGTCGTAAGCTAGCTTCAGAAACTTGAACAAAGGATGATATATGCTCCATTTCCCTCCTCCCTCTCAGCAAGTACACCATTCATACTAGCCACGAGTTAATACATAGAACAAAGGATAAAGTGTTAGGGCCACTATGGGCATGGGAGACATGGAGTAGATAAGCATTAAGATTGCTCTGCTCACCACAACACCCAAAAGGAGAGAGAGAACACAGGGGATTGCCCTGCCACAGAGACAGGGGGGATGGGGGGATGGGGGTGGGAGGGATATTATCCATGGTGGTGGAAAATGGGCACTGGTGGAGGGATGGGTATCTGATCATTGTATAATTGAAACCAAAGCACAAAAAATTGTAAATCTACAACTTTAAAAAAAATAAAATAAAATAAAGGGGAAAAAAAATTTAAAAAAAAAAAAAAAGATTGCTCTGCTCTATTATGGGGGAAAGTGTCTGCCACACAGGCAAGGTTGGGAGGCAGGGAATACTGGGGATTTTGGTGGTGGAAAATCTGCACTGGTGAAGGGATGGGTGTTTGATGATTGTATGACAGAAGCTTAAACATGAAAGCTTTGTAACTATCTCACGTTGAATCAAAAAAAAAAAAAAGAAGGGGGAGGGGAATGATAATAAAATTAACATTCTGAATTTTTTAAAAAAAAAGTAATGTGGAATTCATGCCCAATTCAATCAGCTTAATCAATGGCTGAATAAATAGTACTCCTACATTATTTAAAAAAAAGACTGCCCTGCTCTTCTTGACAGGTCTCTTTCAGCCAAGCTGTGTTACAACCCCTGTAAGTCTATCTAAGCCTGTATGCTCCCTAGCACCATATTTTCCACCTAGGCCTATATTTTCCCTGGCAGGAGATCTCCTGCTGAGACCTGTTATTTCCCTAGCACTATGTTTCCCATTTACTCATGTGCTTTTCTTAGCAGGACGTTTCATGGCTGGGCTTGTCCTTTCCCATAGGCTTGCTTACCTCAGGATACTGTTCATATTTTACGGCCTGTATTTACAGGGTGTTATCCCCCAAAGTACTGCAGTGTTTATATCTTTCTTCTTTTGCCTTTCAGCTTTCTTTTGATAGTTTACAATGTGTTTTAGAAGGAAAAAAAAATGTACATTCATTACAATCTTGCAGATTTGGAAAGAATTCCCTCCCACTAGGACCCAGCGCTTAGAGTGTAACTGCTATTTTAATCTCTTTGGCAATTATATGTAAAGTAATATTTTACTATTTAAATTTAAAGTCAGCTATTTTAAGGTATGACCTTAATTGCTTCTGGAGGACTAGTTTTATTTTATTGAGATGAGAATATTGGATATTTCAAGTTATTTGATGTATTTTCGAAGAAAAGAAGAATGAAACGGTTGCAGAAGAGAAACAAGTGTACATAGTAGAACAGGGCAAGAGAACAAGAGAAAGGAGAGAGAGGGTAACAAATGGTAGAAACTAAAAATGGGTGAAAACACAGATTTACCCACACTGATTACTTCCTGGCCTAGTGCCGGGAACTATCAGTGGCCTAGGCTTAGAATATTCTGTGTAAAGATTTCAGAATGAAAAAGATGTTTTAGCTTTCATCTAGTAAGGAGGAGACTATGGGAAAATAGTCTCCAAAGAAGTTAAGTGCAAAAAGCATTGAATTCGTTTGTGCATTTGCATCAACGAATGCAAAATACGTTGCCATTGTTGATTATGTGATGATTCTCTTAGAAATTAAAAAAAAAACTTTAAGAATTAAATTTTTGTTTTTATCTCTCTTAGCCCACTTTTGACTGGACAGATTTTGGAAAGAATTGCCACTGAATTTAACCAATTACAGTTTCATGCTATTCAAAGCAAAGGCATGCCTCTTATGGACAAAGTAAGACCAGTAAGTGTTGTTTTATATTTTTACAGTATATTATTTAGAATTTTACTCAATTTGGTTTAACCTAGCAATATGCCCCCTGATAATTGTCTACTACCAGAATTTGAAGATGATTTTTTAATGTTTTTTAATATTTTCTTTCAGATTTTCTTTTTATTTGGGGGTGCCTCCCTTTGAAGTATTATACATTATATATATTGTGTAAGAGTACAAGCATTTTCTCTGACTTACAAAAGTGAAATTGGTTCTGAATGTCACATATTTATAGTTGGAATTTCTGGTCTGTCAGATTTACTCTGTAACATCAGAGAAAAATAACTTTTCCGCCTCATTATAATTTGTTCTAAATTCCTTTGATAAAGCAAAGATTTACATATAAAAAGATTGCAAGGATTAGGGTCATTGCTGTTCAGGAAAATACAAGGTTCAATTTATGTGTATTATAAGATTGGTCATGTGTGTGTGTGTGTACATATAATTGTTCTAATTTTTTAAATTATTTGTTTATATATTTGCAGCGTATAGCTGGTATTACTGCCATGTTACAACAGTCACTGGAAAGTCTTCTCTTAGAAGGTCTTCAAACGTCCAATGTTGATATAGTACGACACTGTTTAAGGACCTACGCCACAATTGATAAGACACGGGATGCAGAGGCATTAGTTGGTCAGATTCTAGTGAAACCATACATAGATGAGGTTTGTTTATTCAGCAAACATTGATAGAACTTCAACTCTGTCTTTGATACTTATGAGGTGCAAAGAATAGAAGAAAGTAAAATAGATCTTTCTGTAAACTTCCTGATAATTATTGTAATATCATTTGTATTGAAGAATTGGTCCCAGTTGGTTATAATTTGCATGATAGGTGTTGGGAATGCTCTCCAGTATTTTCTAATATTGTTGTAACCCAGGTATTAATTTAGTCATAATGCGGGTTGTGTTAGAAGAGGGTATGTTAGAATGTTTTGGAGTTTACTGTTAAGATAGGTGGATTTTCAGTAAAGTGCTTTTGAATGACTGGGTAGAATAAAACAAGTTAACAGATGACAGTGACACTTCCATGTTGTTCAAGTTCATAGGTGCATCAAAGCTCACTTTCAGTATTGCAAAATTTCTTCTAGTCGCTGTCCTTCAGGATCTGTAAACGTCCTGCTCACATTATTTCAGGATGAAAGTCTTTCCTCTTTTATTTTTCTGGCTTTTTGAGTTACATCCAGCAATGCTCAGGGGCCACTCCTGGCTCTGTACTCAGGAATTACTCCTGGCATTCCTCAAGGGACCATGTGGGAGTCGGGGATCGAATCCAGGTCAGCTGCATGCAACAAGTGCCTTGCCTACTGTACTGTTGCTCCTACCAGAAAGCCTTTCATTTTTTGTTTTTATTTTTTTTTTCTGGTGCTTCTCAACTTTGTTCCTTTTATTTGAAAGTATAAGAACTCTTAATATAAGAAACATAATTATCTCTTTATACAAATTAAATTTTTTACAGTAGTTTATTTTTCTCTTTCACTATTTTAATTTATTTATTGAATCACCATGAGAAAAGTTACAAAGCTTTCAGGTTTAAGTCTCTGTCATACAATGATCAAACACGCATCCATTCACCAGTGCACATTCACCACCACGAACCCCAATATGCCCCCCTTCCCACCCCTCCCGATGTCTTTGAAGCAGATGATTTCTACTTAACTCTTTCTCTACTTTGATTACATTCATTAATTCGACAAAAGATGCACCATTATTATTTGGAATTTCCTCCCAACAATCAGAACTGCTGAAAAGGCATTGTGAAATAATTTGTTTTCTATTGCTGGTTATACAGACCATATGTCGCATGGCCGCATTAGCGGCCACACAATTTTTGATTTCTGATATTTTACTAAGTCTGGAGGTATTTCTGCCAGAAGCTGGGTAATTACAAAATTAGTTTGTGTGCCTCTGGGACTATGGCCTTGCTGGAGAGCTGATCATGGGGAGCAACTCGTGGCCTCTGTAGGGTTTGAAGGACGTGCTGGTTCCGTCCACCCCATCCCATGAGGCTGCAGTTGCCCTGTGACCGCTGGCTCATGCCTGGCTGTCTAATAAGCTCTGAGGCAGCGGCCACCATGCTACAGGTCTGGGGGAGGGGAGGTGGAACAGACAGACACCCATTCCTTCCGGGGGGATGGGGGAGGGGACAGCAACATAGTTTAACGCATAGTTTAACGCATAGTCCATTCACATTTCTGCCACAAGCTGCTGTGTTCTAAATTAGGTCTGTGTGTCTCTGGGGCCATGGCCATGCCGGAGAGCCGCTCGTGGGGCAACTCATGGCCTTGATAGGGCGTGAAGCCAGTCTTTCATTTTTTAAAAGGGAAAGCTTGAATCAGAATGATAGAAATGAAACTTAAAGGTTAACTTCAAAAGTTTTATTTATATTGTTAAGTTTCTTCTGTCCATTGTGTTTCATAACTATCTCTATAGGAGTAAAAAAGACACACGCTATGTATGTATTTTCTGATAAAAATATGAGCGATAGCACAGCGGTAGGGCGTTTGCCTTGCATGCAGCCAACATGGCCGACCCGAGTTTGATTCCTCTGCCCCTCTCGGAGAGCCCAGCAAGCTACCGAGAGTATCTCGCCCGCACGGCAAGCAAGCTCCCTGTGACGTATTCGATATGCCAGACACAGTAACAACAAAGTCTCCAATGGAGACGTTACTGGGCCCGCTCGAGCAAAAATATATAGTCACTTACATTTTTATTTAATTGAATATAAAAAATATATATATATATTTTTTATGTAGGAGTACTACTATTTATTCAGCCACTGATTAGCTGATTGAATTGGGCATGAACTCCACCTTACTTTCTCTTCTTGTTTTTTATAATTTTATTTATTGAATCACCGTGAGAGCAGTTACAAAGCTTTCGGGTTTAAGTCTTGGTCATATAATGAAACACCCATACCTTCCCAGTGCCCATTCTCCACCACCAAAAACCCCAGTGTACCCCCATCCCACATCCTCTCCCTACCTGTGGGACAGATGATTTCCACATTACTCTCTCTCTACTTTGATCACATTCAGTATTTTGACACCAGACATTATTATTTGGGATTTTACCCCAACACTCAGATCTGCTGAAAAGGCAACAGTAGACAATTTGTTTTCTGTTGCTGGTTAAGAATAACATATGATGTCACATGGCTGCAGTAGTGTTTGTACGATTTTGAAATTCCAAAATTTTAACACTTAAATCTGGAGGGATTTCTGCCAAAACCTGCTGGGTTCCAAGATTTGTTTCTGAGTCTCTGGGATCATGGCCATTAAACGGCTTGATCAGGAGCCAGAGAGGCCGTTCATGGGGTCTCGTTGAGGTGGGGAAGAAAGGGCCGGCTCCACCCCCATCCTGTGAGGCCCTGTATGTCTCATCACTGCGGGCCCAAACCTGACTGTCTATTGGCCTCTGGAGGATGGCGACCATCGGGCCGCCAGGGGGAACAGGCCAAGGCACAAAACCTGTTCCCACCTGGGGTGTTCTAGCGCCAGTAACCTACTGCAGGGACCAGATGCATTTCTGCCAAAAGCCGTTGGGTTTCAAGATTTGTTTCTGAGTCTCTGGGATCATGGCCGTTAAGCAGTTCAATCAGGAACCAGAGAGGCCATGCCTCCAATTATATAGCTGAGCCCAAGTTGGTTTGTGTGTGTGTCTCCCACATACCTAACCTTTGGCCATTTACTTTTGGTATACTTTTGCCCCAAGTTTTTGGGATCTGGCCAAATGCACATCAGCAATTTTGGGGTATCTGGAAGTCTGAAGGTGCCATCAGGCTGCTAATGCACTCACCTCACAGGTACAGATTGACCTGCTCGCAGCACCATACCCCCAAATATATTTAAATTAAAGAAATAGTTGAAATTTCAGTAACTTTATATAATCTAGGGTTACTTTTTTTTTCTATGTAAAAACAAATTTTTTTAATTGAATCACCATAAGATACATAATTACAAAGTTGTTTACGATTGGGGTTCAGTAATACAAAGTTCCAACACCAGTGCTTCACCAGTTTACACTTCCTACCACCAAGGCTACTTTTTTTTTTCCTTTTTGGGTCAAACCTGGCAATGCACAGGGGTTACTCCTGGCTTTGCACTCGGGAATTATTCCTGGCGATGCTCAGGGGACCCTATGGGATGCTGGGAATCAAACCCAGGTTGGCCGCGTGCAAGACAAACGCCCTATGTCTGTGCTATCGCTCCAGCCCCCAAGGCTACTTTTTAAAACTTAAATTTGTATGCTTATTGTGTCATTTCACCTCTTGATACAAAACCTATCCACCAAAATATATATATATATACATGTATATATATATATATAAACTAATAATAAAGTAAAATAAAAGATATTTATCTTCTATCCTTCTTGTTTCAAACCTTCCTCTAATCTGAATGTTGATAGCAGGAAGAACAAAATCAAGGTAGTAAAAATAGTTACCATAGGGATTTATCTTTTTTCTCTAATGGAAACAGATGAATGTGTTTGCTTTTTTGGCTTCAGATTAGTCTCTCCCACACAACCTGCCTCCCTTATATGTGCTTAATTCTAGGGACCAGTTTTAGGTACAATTACTATTTACCTTGCTGTTTAAAAACCATGTCAGTTGAGGAGGAAAATAAACATGGAAAACATATTTGCATAGTTTGTTCGTTGTCATTAGTGCATATTTCTCTTCCATGCTTTAAAAAATGATATTCCTTTAATAGGTAATTGGAGAGCAGTTTGTTGAATCTTATCCAAATGGCCTTCAGCTCATGTATGATAAACTTCTGGAGTTTATTCCTCACCATTGCCACCTTCTTCGAGAAGTCACAGGAGGTGCTGTCTCAAGGTATTTAAAGTGATATGCTTAGCACTTACATCAGTTCAGTGATTACACTAGTTAAATGGTAGTGCACTACTGATTATTGACTGACTTGTATGAACTGCTTACATCTGTACTTTACCATTCAGTTGTTGCAAAGTGCTGAGATGGGGATCATTAGCCTCACTTTATAAATAAGGAAAAGCCATGATTAAAGCTCTGAATTCAAAATTTTTACTTCTTTACATTGACTTCAAGAATAACAAATTCTTATTATTCCTTTTGCAAATGATTATTGTCATTGAAGTCAAGATTATTCTAAAGTCATGGTCTATAAATATTAATTCAGCTTGGTTCAGAGTTTTATATTTGTGGTTAAAGTCATCTTCACTTTTCCCTCTTTTGATTTTGAGGACTTTCTAGTTACATGCCATAGGTACCTTGTTACTTTTCATGTTAGACAATCCAGGTCTTTGCCTTCTTTTCTCCAGAATTACAGGACCTCTTCTGCAAGGCTCCTCACCTCTATTTCCCTCTTTAAATTGGCTTTTGGAGAATCACATTTATCCAGAATTCATAGATGCAACTGTCTTTTTCATCACTCTGTAATGGGTTTTCATTGTTTATAGAGAAAATTCTTGCTTTTTTTGGAGCTGTGTCTGCGCACTTTGCTTCAGTATACTTACTTGGTCTTCGGCCACACAGTAGGACTTGCCCTTCCCATGTTCACCTCGTATTTTATGCTTGTGCTTTTTCTCATTGCCCCAGCTCTTTACTTTACCTTTCGTTCTGTTGGCTTATGACTTTACTTGAAACTCCAGCTCAGTTAGATACTGTGTGTTCAAAAAAGTGAGTGGGCCCACTACCTCTGTTTGGTGGTCATGAGCCACTTCCTCACCCTGGCTGGCTGCCGGCCAATGGATACATAAAGGAGAAAAATGAGAGCATAAAGGAGAAAGTAAGGGCCAGGCTGGTTGGTGATCAGTTGAAATTAATTCCAATCTAGTCTCCTTCTGCCTCCTTCCAGTCTCACCCACTCCCGCCTCACAGCCTAGTTATCAAGAACAGTCCCCTGCAGATTGATGTGAGGTAGCACAATTAACAGATGTAAAGCCCTTCCTTGGGACAAGCTCTTCTAAGACAAAGATCTCATCCCACTAGGAGATCCGCTCAAGGGAGAAATACCATCTAGGAGCGTGTTTCTCCTTTCCTTAGTCCACTAACCATATAAACAGTCATCTTAAATTTACTTCTTAATAATTTTTCTAGTCATTTTGTAGGAACACAGTAAGAGACACATTAAGTTTATAGGGTGGCTCTTCTGGGGACATCTCGCTATATATCCCAGACTACAGTCCTCAGGCCAGATTAGGCCTTCCTAAGCTCAGCAGGGTCCTTGTCCAGTCACTTCTCTTTGAGTCATGACAATTGTCCGGGACTGTGCTCTTATTTTAAGTTTTATGGTGCTTGTCCTGTCCCTTTTCAGTGCCAGGGTAGCTCACAGATTGCCCTGGGTCCTTCCAAGTCCCTTCATTGGGACCTTGCTTTGGGGGTGCTAGGAAACAGTGGACAACTGAGGCTTAAATCGAGTAAATATGACAGATGCCCAGGAGTAAATATTATTCAGAGTCTATTAACTCCCAGATTACAAAAGCATAACATTAACTGTCTTCCTGTGTCTATACAAAAAGGACATTACTCTAAAGAAAACTATGCAAAGGGCCTAAGGGAAAGGGAAAAGCAGTCTTTCACTTACATTTACAAAATCCAGGGTTTTTAGAAGTATCTGACCTTACAAGTCACAGGGTCTGATTTGGGGATATAAGTGATTAACAGATAGGAGAAGCAGAGCACAGAGGAGAAGTTAAAGATAAACACAGAGGAGCACTGTGATGGGTGTAATCCAATAAACCTAAGCTCCCTGCAGCAAAGGAGAAAGGATGGAGGAGAAAGGACAAACCGATGTTATCCTACAAGATACCTCTTCCTTTTATTTTGACATTCAGCATTTGCCATGTCCTCTGAATTTCATTTCATGTTGCTTTTATTTGTGTAGAGAACGGTTCCATTTTAGCAGTGGAATGCCTTAGCATCTTGATTCCTTTGCTTAGATCCTGCCTTAAGGTTTCCAAATGCTTCTTGGTTTCCTTGTTCTCTCATAACCTTTTTTCTGCATTGCCATTAATTCCCTTTATAACTGGGAACACCAGCGACTTTCAGAATTTGTCTTCCAGAGGATATGGATTGGCCTTTCTGGTTAATCCTCTGTTTAATTTGCTAATCTTGAAAATTTAATTTTTCTCTGTGGGACCTTAATCGATATTTACTTTTGGGCACATCAGGTCTTATTTATTTAATACCGCTCATATTATGTTTGGGGTCTGAAATTGCTCTCAGGGAGGACAGGGCAAGCAGCTGACCTGCTCTCCTATCTCTCAGGTCGTAGATCCAGTTGAATTGAAAATGTTATAATATCTAAACAGAAATATAGTGGAACAGAGAAGAATTAGTTCCCGGAGCCAGAGCAACGGCACATCGGGGAGGGCACTTGCCTTGAATGCAGCTGACTCTGGTTCAATCCCCACATCCCATAGGGTCCACTGACTTCTCTAGATCTTTGCACGGAGCTTCCTGCTGATTCTCGGGAATTATAGGTGGGAGAAGATGATGTCGCACTGTCTGACGCACCGTCCACAGGGAGGAGAGTGACAAGATGATATGATGCAGTGACAGGAATGCACAGGCTTTCAGGGCTGTCTCCAGAGTTGTTTCAGGAGGTAGCCCTGGCTCTACTGTTTTTGAGGCCACTTTTGTCCTTGTTTATTGGTTTTGTTGTGTTTGGGTTTCGATCATACCCCCTGTTTCTTAAGGAGTACTCCCAACTCAGTGCTCAAGATTCACTCCTGCCAGGTCTCAGACCCTGTGGGGTGCCATGGATCAAAGACTGACTCACTTTGTTTTGTTTGGGAAGGTTGGGGACCACACCCAGTGATTCTTCCTCTGCACTCCAGCATTGCCCCTGGCAGTGCTTGGGGGACCATATGGGACACCAGGATCCCCAATCCTAACTGTTCTTCCTTCAGGTTTATTTTTGTGCCACAGTGGAGGTGTTCAGGGCTTCCTCTTGCTCTCTGCTCTGGATTCACCCCTAACGGGCATCGGAGCCCTCAGACCACATGGCCCTCTATGTGCCCTGTCAACTACAGTAACTCAGGACCCAAGACATGTGTTTCTCCTGTTTTGCCCTTCCTGCTCTGGAGAGCCTCGCCTGCTTAGTCACACAGGCTCATGTTCACTCACCACTGTGTTTGCAGTTCCGAGCATGCACTGGTCCCAGGGAGACAGAGCACAGGATCTCTGGAGCTGGCAGAGGTGTTGGGGGTCAGGTCACTTTTGCCTGCTTTGAGAGGGCATTTGCCTTGCACACGGCCGACCCTAGGTTTGATTCCTCCATCCCTCTCGGAGAGCCCGGCGAGCTACGGAGAGTATTCCGCCCGCACGGCGGAGCCTGGCAAGCCCCCTGTGGCGTCTTAAATATGCCAAAAATTGTAACAAGTCTCACAATTTGTTGTGAGACATTACTGGTGCCCACTCGAGCAAATCGAACAACGGGAGGACAGTGACAGTGACAGTGATGTTATGTTTATCTCTGATTTAAAAATAACTAGTTTCGTTCTCCTAATATCTGTAATAGAGATAGTTGTTAATATGATTAAATTATGTAATGTGTCACATCGGATATATAGCAAGTGGGCATCTTCTTTACCCTCTGGTTCTCTGACACCACTAGTAATTTTTTGTCAATACTTAAGTGTATTAGCGTTATTTTGTGTAAGTTCACAAAATAAATAAGTGAGTGGGGGTGGTGGCGTTGTCTCTCTCTCGCCCACCATGTGCCGTTTAATGGCCCTGAGCCACTTCTCTCACCCCAGCCTGTAGCTGCCGCAAACAGATGCATGAAGGAGGGAACAAGGCCACCAGGCTGGTTGGTTATCAGTTGCCGTTCATTCCCTTCTCCCCACGTGCCTGTTGCAGTCTCACTAAGCTCCCAGTTCCAGTCTCACAATGCCCCCCAATCCCCCCTCTCCTCCTGTCCCTATGCTAGTCTCTCCATGCTCCATCTCCATCTCCAAGCATTGGGAGAGCAACTACATCTAGATAGGTAGCACAATCAACATATGAAAGTCCTTCCTTCTGAGGGAAGCTCTTCTCAGATAAGGCAAAGATCTCCAGCAGCTAGGAGATCTGCTCAAGGGTGAAATACCACTGGGATGTGTTTTTCCTTTACTTAGTCCAACAACAATTTAAACATTCATCTTAATTCTACTTATTAATAATATTTTGTATGGACACAGTAAAAGATACATTAAGCTGTAGGGTGACTCTCGTGGGGACATCTTACTATAGATTTCAGACTACAGTGCTCAGGTGAGATTAGTCTTTTCTACTCTAGTAGGGTCCTAATCCAGTTGTTACTCTTTGGATCATGACAGAATTTGTGCATGTCCGTGTTCTTAACTTACAATTAAGTATTATAACACTTGGCCTGACCCATTTCAATGCCAGGGTAGCTTGCAACTTGCCCTGGCTCCATCCAGTCCCTAACGAAGGGCAACTGAGGCTTGAGAAAAGAGATACCCAGGAGTAAATATTATTTGGAGTCAGTTAACTCCCAAATTGCATTAACTTCCTGTGTCTATACATAAAAGGACATTGCTCTGAAGTAAACTTTGCAAAAGGACATGAGGGGAGGAGAAAAGCAGTTTTTCCAGAGTTCTTAGAAGGGTCAGACTTTACAAGTCAACAGAGTCTGATTTGGGGATAAAGGTGATTGGTTGGGGAAGCAGAACAGAGAGAACAGGTTACAGATAAACACTCTAAAATTACTCCAGCCCCATGAGGAATGGGAGTGCATCAGGAACACCAATGTTAAGCCTAAGGTGTTTAGAGCTATATTCCAATAAACATAGAGGAATGGGAGTATCTCAGGAGCATTGTGATGGATGTAACCCAGTAAACCTAAGCTCCTGCGGCCAGGGAGGAAGGACAAACCAATGTTATCCTACAATTTTACAACTCTTTGTGACAGTAAAGTACAGATTTCTCCTTCCCCTTTTTTGTTTAGTTTGGTTTGGTTTGTGGGTTTATTTTGTATGTGTTGGGGGGGAGCAGGGGTTGGAGCACACCTGCATGTGCTCTTGGTTTACTACTGGCTCTGTGCTCAGGGGTCTCTCCTGGTGATGCAGTACTGGAGATCAAACCATTGTTGGATACATGCAAGCATGGATTTGCTGTAATATATATATATATATATATATATATATGTATGTGTGTGTGTGTTTATATAGAGGATATATTATACTATATATGCATATAGTTGGTGTATCTTTTTTAAACACAGTATACAAATAAACAAAAGTAAGAGTTAACAGGTAAAGTCAAACAGGCACTTATATATTAAGAGAAAACTAGAAGAAACATTGTCTTAAACATCTTAATTTTGTATTACAAAATACAACCTATTGCAGTTTCATTTAACTGAGCTCCTGTTACTGTGAAGAATACATCTTCATGTATGATGAACAATGTGTACCAAATATTTTCCCAACTTGACATCAACAGCTTAGCTACAAAACTCCCAGTTTTGCTGAAAGGAAAAGATGATGTATTGAATTGCTGGTTGTCTTTAATTTTAGTTGCAAAACATTTTATTTATTTTTATTTTTGTTTGGAGGCCATGCCTAGCTGTACTCAGGGCTTATTCCTGTCTCTGCACTCAGGGATCACTTCTGGTTGGCTCGGAGAACTATATGGAATGTCAGGGATTGAACCTGGGTTGGCCACATGCAAGGCAAGCGCCCTACTCACTCTAAAATCACTCCAGCCCCATGAAATAATCATAGGATTGTAAGACTGAAAACAATTTTAGCGGTAGTTTTATAATCACAAAGCTGTTAGCATTTGGTAAATTAAAATAACCTATAAAGGGCTGGAGTAATAGCACAGGAGGTAAGGCGTTTGTTTGCCTTGCACCCAGCCAACCTGGCCGACCCGAGTTCGATTCCTCCACCCCTCTAGGAGAGCCCAGGAGCTACCGAGAATATCTCGCCTACATGGCGAAGCCTGGCAAGCTACCCGTGACGTATTTGATATGCCAAACATAGTAACAACAAAGTCTCACAATGGAGACGTTCGAGCAAATCGTGAACAACAGGAGCACTGTCCTTAACAGTGCTACAGTGCCTTTGAGTTCAATGATACTAAGATTGAATACAAAGATTTCTTTTGTGATTAGACTACTTTTCCAACAGGAATCTGGTATTGCTTAATTTGGGGAGAAAATTATACCAATCTGATTTGATACAGTAACTTTGTCTTGTACGTGATACTAATTTGCTCTGTTATGTGATCGATATAGGAGTCAGGACATAGGATCTGTGTCAGATTAAATGTGAGAAAGAAATTAAAATGTGAACCTTTGGCTCTAGGAGCTCATTAACAAATATGGTTTTACTTGAAAAGGCAGGTAAATTTTAGGACAGGAAACTTTTAGTAAAAATGCTATAGTCAAGTTTTGCTTGTTGTAAATACAAGTTTATGGTATATTTGACTGAAATTTTGCTCTTATCTTGCAGTGAAAAAGGCAATACTGTTCCTGGGTATGATTTTTGGGTGAATTCTGTCTGGCCAGAAATAGTACGAGGATTAGAAGAAAATTTGCCCTCACTTTTTAATCCTGGGAATCCTGATGTATTTCATGAGGTATCTATTCCTCCATTGTCTTCATTCTTGATGATGCTAAATGAAAGTTTTAATAATCTTAAAAAGATAACATATTATCTTACATAAAAAATTTGTATATTTCTAGTATATAATTTTGAAGGAAGATAGAAGGCATTGATTGGATTTTAAGAGTCTAACAATACTGTATAAAAATTTAAAGACTAAGAGGCCCTATATGTACTTTATAAAAATCATGTTATGTAAAAGATTTCAAAGGTGGATATTTCTTAAGTAAATTCATGTTTTTGTTTTTTTTATTGTACCATTTTTATTAAAGGTAATATGTAGAATCATGGTGAGGAACAGACTCTCAGGCCTGATTTCCCTTACAAGTCCTCTTAGTTAAACCTGTTGAGCCTGTTGCTTAGCTTGGATACTTTCTGTTTAAATAAAATACATTTCCAGTGGTGGCTGAGTGATTGTTTTTCTGAAAAGGAAGTGATGGGCCAAATAAGTCTGGAAACCTCTGCTTTGTATGCTCATTGATCTCTCATAATTACAATCTTTCTTATCATTCCCTTTGTTACTCTTGTTCTTAATTGATCATTTTCCTTTGTATAATTCATTTCAGGGAAGACCTTTCTTAGTAAGGGCGTATTGAAAATGAAGTCATTTTTATAATAAACCCTTAATTTGTGTTTGTCTAAAAGCCGCTGTATCCTTTCATGTTCGAAAGTTAGTTTTGCTAGAAGTAGAAGCCTCTGTAGTTTGAACTTTATAAATCACAATATCATTAAACTTAGTTGCTTCTATTGTAATAAATACCATTCTTCTTTTTTTTTTTTAATTTTTTTTAGTGAAACACCATGAGGTACAGTTGTAGACTTACAAATTTTTGTGCTTGGGTTTCGATTATACAATAATCAAATACCCATCCCTCCACCAGTGCCCATTTTCCGTCACCATGGATCCCAGTATCCCTCCCACCCCCATCGCCCCATCCCACCCTGCCTCTGTGACAGGGCATTCCCTTTTGTTCTCTCTCTCTCCTTTTGGGGTTGTGGTCTGTAAAAAAGGCATTGAGTGGCAATCATGTTCGGTCTATAGTCTTACTTTCAACATGCATCTCCCATCCTGGGAGAACCCTTTATTTTGTAATAAATACCGTTCTTCTTTGGCTACTCTTAAGATTTCTGTGACTTTGGCGTTCTGTTTCACTAAGATATCTAGTATGGACTTCTTTACTTCTTTATTTTACTTACTATGTGAGTTTCCTACATCAAAGGATTGTCTTATAAATTCTGTAACATTTTTTATATACAATATCTCTGTGGGGGCAGGGGAGTGGTGGGGGGGGTAGCCAGGGAGGGACAGTCTGACTCCTCTGCCAAAGCTGTGGCCTGGAGACCTAGACCTGGAACCCAAGTACCTCGGCCTTCCTTCTGGAAGATCGTGGTCACCAAGGTGTCGTCTGGAGTGTGCAGGGAGAGCACACCTACTTCATCTGAGGAGTTCACCACTTTATTCCCTAATACACTCTCCCTGTACTGCTTAGCAAATCTAGTTTGTAATTCACAGCTAAGGGTTTGTCATCTTTCAGTGCTCTCCTCTTGTCCTTCTTTTTTTTATTCTATATTCTACAGATGAGTAAGGTCATTTGGTATTTGTCTTTTGCCTTCTGATTTATTTGGCTTAGCATGTTACGTTCCAGTTCAACCCAAGTTGCAGCAAACTCCGAGATTTATTTTCTTATACCTACATAGTAATCTGTTGTGTATATTACTACAATTTCAGTTTTTTATCAATTAACTTATTTGTATGAATTTTTCATATGGACAGTTATTAGGCAGAGAATAATCATGCTTAACATAAAAAGGCACAGGACATTTTTTTTAATTTAAATAGTTAATTGTTGTCTATGGTTAAGATTTTAGAATAGAATTAACATGTTCTTTTGTTTGTTTGTTTTTTGTTTTTGTTGTGGGGCCACACCTGGCAATGCTGAGGTTACTTCTGGCTCTGCAGTCAGGAATTACTCTTGGTGGTGCTCGGGGACCCTAAGGGATGCCAGAGAATGAGCCAAAGTGGTCCACGTGCAAGACATACACCCTATGCGCTGTACTATCGCTCCAGCCCCTACTGTGTTCTTGATGTACCCTTACTGTGTCTCACCCCAGGACCTTCCGCTAATGTCCTCATATTACTTCCAGCCCCCTCCTTATCGTTCACCCCACTACCTGTGTTCCCTGGAGTCTTAGTTTATAATCCTGAGTCCCTGGCCAGGAATTCACCATCCTTCATTACTTTCTATTCCCTTGGGGTTCCCCCCCCCATAAACCAGAGATGACAGATAATCTGGTATTTGTTCATCTCCCTCGGACATATTCCACTTAATATGATAACTACAATTACATTCAAATTACAGCAAACCAGGAGATTTCGTCTTTTCTTACAGCTGCATAGTATTCCATTATGTGTATATATAACATAACTTCTTTACCCATTCAATAACATTCATCTCTGATTGGACCTTTGGGTTTTTCCATATCCTGGCAGTGGTTATAAGCGCTACAGTAAACATAGGTGTACATTTATCTTTTTGAATTAATTTTTTTTTTTAGTTGGGGGCAGATGTCAGGAATGGGATCATTGGGTCATATTGGAGCTCTAGCCTTACATTTTTGAGAAATCTCCACAGTTTTCCATAGAGGAAATTGCATTTCCACCAACAGTGATTCCAAGTATCATTCCACCAGTTGAATGAGGATTCTTTTTTCATTATTCTCTCTAGCACTAGTTGTTTTCAGTCTTCTTGATATATGCCATTCTCACTGATATGAGATACTATCATTGTTCTTTTTTTTTGTTTGTTTTGTTTTGTTTTTTTATTTTTTTTTACAGTTGTAAATTTACAATTTTTTGTGCTTTGGTTTCAATTATACAATGATCAGATACCCATCCCTCCACCAGTGCCCATTTTCCACCACCATGGATAATATCCCTCCCACCCCCACACCCCCATCCCCCCGTCTCTGTGGCAGGGCAATCCCCTGTGTTCTCTCTCTCCTTTTGGATGTTGTGGTCTGCAAAAGAGGCATTGAGTGGCAAACATGTTCAGTCCATAGTCTACTTTCAACATGCATCTCCCCTCCTAGGAGGATCCTCCAAACATCCTTTATTTGGTGCTCCCTTCTCTATCTGAACTGCCCTTTCCTCTAGGATACCTGGCTGGCCTCTAAGTTATGGAGTAATCCTCCTGGTGCTGATCTCAGCTATTCTTGGGTATTAATCTCATACTTTGTTACTTTATATCCCCCAGATGAAAGCAATCTTTCTATGTCTATCCCTCTCTTTCTGACTCATTTCGCTTAGCATGATACTTTCCATATTGTACCACTTGTATATAAATTTCATGACTTCATCTTTTCTAACAGCTACATAGTACTTCATTGTGTAGATGTACCAAAGTTTCTTTAACCAGTCATCTGTTCTAGGGCATTCAGGTTTTTTCCAGTTTCTGGCTATTGTAAAGAGTGCTGCAATGAACAAACAAGTGCAGATGTCACTTCGACTATACATTTTTGCCTCTCTGGGATATATTCCCAGGAGTGGTATTGCTGGGTCAGATGGGAGTTCAATTTCTAATTTTTTGAGAATCGTCCATACTGTTTTCCAGAAGGGCTGAACCAGTGGACATTCCCACCAACAGTGAAGGAGTGTCCCTTTCTGGCCACATCCACGCCAGCATCGGTTGCTTTTGTTCTTTTGAATGTGGGCCAGTCTCTGAGGTGTGAGATGGTATCTCATTGTGGTTTTGATCTGCATCTCCCTGATGATTAATGATGTAGAGCATTTTCTCATGTGCTTTTTTGCCATTCGGATTTCTTCTTTGAGAAAGTTTCTGTTCATTTCATTGCCCCATTTTTGGATGGGGTTGGATGTTTTCTTCTTGTGGAGTTTAACCAGTATTTTGTATATCCTGGTTATCAACCCCTTGTCAGATGTGTATTCGGTGAATATCCTTTCCCATTCTGTAGACTGTCTTTGTATTTTGGTCACTGTTTCTTTGGAGGTGCAGAAGCTTGTTAGTTTAAGATAGTCCCATTTATCTATCTCTGTTTTCACTTGCTCAACCAGTGGCGTGGCATCTTTGAAGATACCATTAGCTTCAATGTCATGGAGGGTTTTGCCAACTTTATCTTCAATGTACCTTATGGTTTCTGGTCTGATGTTGAGGTCTTTAATCCATTTTGATCTTACTTTTGTACATGGTGTTAGGCAGAGTTCTGAGCCTATTTTTTTGCATGTAGCCGTCCAGTGATGCCAACACAATTTATTAAAGAGGCTTTCCTTACTCCACTTCACATTACTTGCACCTTTATCAAAGATTAGATGAGCGTATGATTGAGGGGAGATGTCAGTGTATTCAACCCTGTTCCATTGGTCTGCAGTTCTGCCTTTGTTCCAGTACCATGCTGTTTTAATTATTACTGCTTTGTAGTAGAGTTTGAAGTTCGGGAGGTTGATTCCTCCCATTTTCTTTTTCCCAAGAATTGCTTTAGCTATTCGTGGGGGCTTATTGTTCCATATAAATTTCAGGAGTGTTTGCTCCATTTCTTTGAAGAATGTCATGGGTATCCTTATAGGGATTGCATTGAATTTATACAATGCTTTCGGTAGTATTGCCATTTTGACAAAGTTAAGTCTCCCGACCCATGAGCAGGGGATATCTTTCCATTTCCTCATGTCCTCTTTTATTTCCTGAAGTAGCGTTTTGTAGTTTTCTTTGTACAGGTCCTTTACTTCCTTAGTTAAGCTGATTCCTAGGTACTTGATTTTCTGGGGCACAATTGTGAACGGGATTTTTTTTTCATGTTGCTTTCTTCTCTCTCACTGTTTGCGTATAGGAAAGCCATGGACTTGTGGGTATTGATTTTATAACCTGCAACTTTACTATACGAGTCTATTGTTTCTAGGAGATTTTTGGTGGAAGTTATTGGGTTCTCTAAGTAGAGTATCATATCATCTGCGAATAGTGA